CCAGCACTCTGGGTGTCGAAAACGAACTGCGAGTTGTTCGCGGTTTTGCTAGTCGTGCGCGCGAATGCATTGACCGGCGCGGAGTCGCTGTTTCATTGAGCCCTTTGTTAGTTTATTGTTCATCATAAATTTATGAATACCAGGGGGTGGCAATGCAAATGGAGGGAGGGAGGAACGACGTACTGGTTACCGAGCGAAGGAAATATAGGCGCCGTAAGCTTCGCTGCCATCTGCGCGTTGAAGGCCTCAGATCAGTCGTCACTTCCCTAGGATAAAATGAAATAAATGGTCATTGATCATTGTCATGGTATGCACGATATCACTTACGCCTGATCGACGAGCCAGTCCGTGTGGTCGACCACTGTGAAACAAACGAGGTTAGAGATTAAATACTATTAATATTAAGATTCACCATCCCCCGTGAAAATAGAGAACCTCGGATTCAGCCTTTGAACCTCTTCGAGCATCGAGTCGGCGAGGGTGATCGTCGAGTCGCAGCGCGAGTTTCCGATCGGACCAGCAGGGATGGTGGGCACAGCCGGTGAATCGTCGAAATCGCGACAGCAGATAGATTTGGTGCAGTTTGCTTCGGCGCCAACCTGCATGCACATCTCCGTCAAAACAAAAATAGATGTATACTGGAGAAGGAACGGAAGACAAGGAGACGCACGGTATACAGCCCGATCAGTATGCACGTCGCTCAAGTGCGCCACGGACACTGTCGGCGGCCGCGCGACTTGAAGGCCTTCGGATGCTTGGGGTGGCGGCTTGGGGAACGGCACCGTAAACGCGTTGATGGGGTGCGTGACACACATGCCCAGGAGGGCGTCGCAGAGCTTCTCCGCGGTCTGTCCAGTGGTGGAGATCTGGCGCAGGTCGTGTGCGAGGATGGGGCCTTCGCGCGCGATGATGCCGGTGCAGACGTCAGGATCTGAGGCCTGTAGAAAATCACAAGTGAGTGAATTAAAATAACAATATTTAACGAGGAAGAGCGGAACCGAGAATCAGAGGAAGGTAGGAAGAAATGCGTACGCCGAGCCCGATACAGATGCTCGTGAAGGACGCGATAAAGGCATCGGTCGCCGGTGAGTGCGATTGCTTGGAACGCGCCGAGCATGGCCAGACACGAGGGGCAGTCATCGGCATTTTGCACCGCGGGAAAGGAGGGCATCTGTCGATGCTCCTGCTGCGAGCGTGGCGAGGAAATGGACTGCCAGGAAGACGAACCACATCCTTGGTGTTTGCAAGAGCGAGCGGAATGGTACTGGGGCGGTATTCATCGGGCCCTTGGTGAGAAGAGAAGGGATGGTATACGTGAGACGTGTGGGTTCGAAAATCCTCCATAGGGCGTCCGAGATCGGCAACGACGTCAGGTGCCAGAGAAATCGTCGAAGTTATGGAACGTTCGTGGTGTTCCTCGACAGAAATATGCCGCGGGCCGAGACGTAAACTTTTGAACGTGGATCAGCGGCTACAATGCAGGCTTTAGGTGAGCCATTGCTTCACGCCGCGCCCTTGGGATGAGGCGGTATTGGCAATCTATCTTCTACGGCGAGCTGCACGAGCAATCAAGTCAACGCCTTCGGTCTGTGACGCAAACATAGTAAGATTTGGCAGAAGCTGGGTGGAAGTGTGAAAAGAAAGCAATCCTGGTGCTGTTTACGTTGGTTTGAGAATCACCGGCACCGGTGTTTTTTTGGTGCCGGTCCGCCGGCCATCAAAATCGCCTTATTCAGACGCAGATGAAGTTGGGAGACTACACCCAGGCTCGAATGAATATAGGTGCGCCCGATTGTGTATGGTATACACCCGCCGCTAACCTGGATTGGTTAAGGTTTCTACGGTGAGTAGGCGATCTGTTATTTTATTTCTCCTTCCCCCTCCCTTTTTGGTTCTTCGTTGTCTTTTGTTGTCTCTCTTTTTTTGAACCAGGTAACACGCAAGGTATTTTTTTTCTCTCACCCTTGCCTGCTTTTTATTCTTCGTTTCTTCTTGACCTCGGTGGAATGCGAGGGCAGAAGAACTAGAATTCGTCGTGGTGAAAAGGTCAGCGATTCTATCGTCCTCTCCCGAGAAACTATCCGCGGAATCCATGCTGGTCGGTGCCCTGAATTGAATTTTTGGCGGTAGATGCGACATAGGCACTTATCCAGGTCAAAATAAATACCGATACGCACCGATTGCGTATGGTCTACGCCCGCTGCCGACCTACTCTACGTCCCCACAGCGAGTAGGGGTTCGATTCCCCATCGGTGCATGCTCCAGATTTCGTTTTCGTTCTCCTTCCACCATTCCTTCGATTCTTCGTTACATTTTTACCGAACTAGGTAACGCGCTGGGCAAAGCCCCGAGCAATGAAACTTTTAGCGAAAACCGGGGCAAGCCCTTCCGTGGGTACGCAGGTAAATAACAGAACAAAAGTTGAGATACACGCACTGGTCGTGTATGGTACACATACGTGTTGATCTTGGTTATGTCGAACGTGGACACAACCTGGGGTTCGATCCCCGCCGGTGCATGCCATGGTGGTTAGAATACTTTTTGCGCATCCTATGTTGGGACTCGGAGGGAAGTCACGAAACACGATAAGAAAGCGGAAAGACTGACCGACCTCCCTTGTGAACTCACCCCCATCCATAAGTCTCGTTCGATATGGATTTGACTTTCGGTGCAGACGCAACACTAACCGGAAGGAGAGCTTGATTTTCGGAGGCCGCGTCGGAACGTGAATCAGCTTCGAAGGAAGGATACGGAAAGTAGCATGCTTGGAAGCGAGCGGAAGTGGGCATTCGAGCACGAGGACGAAGGAACATCGTATCTTCCAGCACTGCGCTTCAAGCTTCAGGATCGACGATTGTTCGGAGGAACAAAGTCGAGTTGGACTTGAATCTGGCCGACGGAATTAATTTGAGACTAGCAAGAGCCCAGGGAGTTGGACATATTCGAAGAAAGAAAGAGATGGATAAAGCGAACCAGAGCATACGTTGGAATACAGGAACCGATGGGCCCGAAATTTTGAGGCGAGACGCCGCACGGGGTCACTCTTTCAGCCTCCACACCAACAAACAATTCTCCTCCTCCCCCCCCGCCCTTCGCCTCCGGCACGCTCACCACCCCGCGCATCCCCTTCTCCTCCACAAACCCGTGCTTCTCCCACAGCCGCACGCTCGCGACATTCGACACATACGCGCTTGCGTGGATCTCCGTCGCGCCCATCTGCGGCACCGCCCAGTCCTCGAGGAGCACGCGCACGGCAGCGGAGGCGACGCCGCGGCGGTGGTACGCGACGTTCAGCGCCGCGCCCATGTCGAGCACCCCGTGCGAGCGCCACGCCTCCCACTGGTCGTTTATGGGCGACACGCGCGCGGCGCCGGGGTCGGGGCCGATGCTTACTTGGCCGACGTACGCGTCGGGGCCGGAGGGTTGGCGCTCGCGGAGGACGAAGAACGGGGAGGACGCGGCGGGGCGGAAGGTGCCCGAGGCGTAGGACGCGAAGAGATCGGCGACGAGAGTGCGCTGGCGGACGAGGTGGCGCTGGGCGCTGATGAGAGGGTTGGGGAAAGGCGGGCCGTGCACGCTGCGCACGACGCGGATGTCGTTCTGGGGGAGAAGCAATTTTATGTTAGATCAAGCGTTCTTCTCAAGAAAAAGAAGAAAGAAAGAAAGGCGGCGCACCATCATGGCCATGTCGCCTGGGAGATCGGACTGCCGCATGGGCTGAGGTAGAAGTTCTCATGCGGCGCGGGGAGAGGGAGGTATGGTTCGCCGGCGTCGGTGAAGCGAATAGGGGTGCGCAGGGAGACGGCGGCGCGGAGCTCGGGCGACTCGATTGTGTAGAGATCGGGAGGTGTGCCGCGGGGGACAGGGGCGCCGACTCGGGCGCAGAAGCAGGGGTTGCCATTGTTGATAGTGTCGATTCAGGCGAGAAACCTTATATGATGCGAGATTCGGCTCCGAGATCTGCGGTCGAGTCAAAAGTTGGATTTCAAGTCGGAAGCTTGTCGGACGCAAGCCGGAAGAAGAGCCGCCGAAGAGATCTGCTTTCGAGTCACGTTTGGGAAACTAGATTTCTCGGTAGGACGGTACAAGGAGGAGGAGGAGTTAGTGCCGGCCAGAAGTGTTCAAATTTTCATTGCTCCAGGACTTCGCGTCGTTTGGCGGTTGGCCGTGAAGGATGTGGAAGGAAGGCGGTGCAAAGTGTTGTATGATGCGGTGTGTGCTGATCTCTGTTTCCTTTGATCTGTTCTCCTTTCATGATGTTGCTTGTGTTTTTCTGCAATCCTGCGGTGTTCCCACTGTTCACTTCCGGGCCTCGGTGAACGCTTCATTCCTTCACCTGATATGCTTTGTCGAGCTCCAATTCATCAACCCATCCGCCATCTCTGGCCTTGAATACAACACCGCAATCGAGTGACACTCGATTCGAGTCCGGATCGTCTCATCTGCCAGTGGACCTGCCCAGGCTGGAACATATGTATGATTCCTCCCCGTCACCACTACGCAGCGTTCATTGGAACATAGAACCGGTACGAGCAGGCACTCTGCATTACTCCAACCGGATATTATTGAACATTCTGTCGGGCCTTTAAAACGTTCCTGTCTATCCAGGCCGTAACACAAGGATATACGCACCGGTGGTGTGTGGCACCTGCTGATAAATTAAACCAGCTCTAGATACGATGACGAGTTGGGGTTCGATTCCCCGCCGGTGCATAGATCGTATTTTCGGTGATTTTTTGGCGTATTTTCACAAAGCTGCGCTACTCCTAGTCCGGGAGATGAGGGAATACGTGACCTGCCCACGCTGAACGTATGTATGATTCCTCCCAGTTACCCCTATGCAGCGTTACGTGGAACATCGGGGCGGCGTTCGCCACACAGGCTCTTTGAGCGCCACCCACGTACGAGCGGGCACTCTGCATTAACTCCAACCCAGATACTGAAGCACGCCGCCCCTTTGAAACGTTTCCGTCTATCCAGGTTCGAATAAAAGTGTATACGCACCGGTGGTGTGTGGCACACCCGCTGATAAATTATGTTGGTCGTGTAAACGACGGCGAGTTGGGGTTCGATTCCCCACCGGTGTATGGTGTCTTCCCATGATATTTTGTCCCTCGAAATAATTTTTGGTGCGGTCCACTGTGGCAGGGGCAGAGGGCCGGCGTGTGGAATCGTTCCGTACACTCGGTTTCTCGGCAACTGTCCTGGCGGGAGGAATGATAGCATCTATCTTTGTTCTTCTTCTTTTTTCCAATTCTTATGCTTACCGTATTTACAGCTACCATTTTGTGCTAACCATGCCTTCAAATTCCTTGTTCTTTCATCTAGGTACCACTGCGATCTCGCAAAAGACTCCAAACGAAGTTCTCATGGATGGCATGGTTTCGGCATTGAACATTCAAGCTGTATGTAATTTTATTTACCTTTCGTTGACGTTCGTTCGGGCGGAGTGCCACCTCGTGGCTCACGGACCGTAGGTCTCGCGCTTGGGGGTGTTTTGCGGGGAACACCGGGCTGTTTGGCGGGCAGTACCTTCACCCAAGTTGCCTATAGACCGAGTCATTGCTTATGAAGCATTCCGTGGGTTTATTGGGGTGGTAAGTCGCTCGGACGAGCGGCTTTTGCCTTGACATGGGCCTTACATACATTTGTATATAGTGGCAGCCCCGATGGTCCGAGAGAACTGACGCATCGGGTGAGATTTCGTTACATGTTATGTAATTTTTCTGGACACCTGGAATGGACACGTTACGTTTTGACCTCTTACCACTACCTCCCTGCTTCGCGGGAAGACTTGTGCGGTGTTCTAGCGTGCTCTCTTCGTCCTAACTCGCTCTCACGGAGTGTGCGGTGCACTCCATCATCTCGTCGTTCCCTTCCATTCTTGACTTCGCGTCAGGATCATCTGTTCTTGACTTCGCGTCAGGAATACTACATCCCTCCTCCATACTCTGATATTTTGTTGCTTTTCTTATCTACCAGTCGGCACACTTCCTTCCACATTCTTTTATTTACTGAACCTGCTACCGGGTACTTAACCCTACTTCACCACTGAGCAGGATCCGCGCGTCTCCGTATCTGCTCCGCCGCCCGGCTTCCTTTCATGTCGTCGTCAGCAACGATTAGAATCGTCGCTCGTGCAGTCGTTTAGGGCCTTCGCGACGTTGGGCTCCTACGACAGCTAACAATGTTCACAGTCTGGGGACAAAAGCAAGGCTAGTGGCTTTCTGGAGCACATACATGCACCGCCTTCAAGCACGAACTGGGGTTCGACTCCTCGCCAGTGCATGGCGTTTTTCTCAAGCTTGTTTTTCACGCTTTGCTTTGGTTCCGCGGACTTGTACTGTAAGCACATACTGAATACGAGGTACGTACGGCGTGAAGAAAGAGCAATCGAAGAAATTGTCGCTCACTGCCATGGAGGGAAAAAGAACATTCAACATGAACCATCTGTCTTGCATCGAACCGCTGTTGTGTTATCTCCATCCACTCACTAAAGCGAAAGTGAAAAAAGTGAACATTTAACCGCATGCGCCGCGCTCACCGATGAATCTGGGAAGGTCATATTCTATCGGGGGGTGTGCCATATATATACACGACCGGTGCGTATAGGCGTTGATTTCGGGCTATCATAGGCAGGTGCTTGTCGTCACTCACCAATGTTGCTTCCGTCTGTTCATCCGCTCACAAAAGCCAAGGATAAAAATAAAAAAAAGACAAAGGGAAAGGTAAACACCGAGGGGGAGTCGAACCCTGGCTCACCGATGAATCGGTTGATCCAAAAGACGATTGTATCGGGAGGTGTACCACACAGCCGGTGCATATAGGTGTCAGTCAGCATACATATCAGGGATTTCCTCAGCATTTGACACCACCAGTTCTGTGGTGACCATAAATCCATCCTTCGCATGGAACGAATGGTGGCTTCCAATATGTAATGTCAGTATGTCGCTCGATGATACAGTCCAAACCGCTTAAGCTACCGGATTTTTTGTGCTGAAAGCAGCTGTGATAGGTGAGAATTTTACTGGACAAAGATTTATTTCCAAGTGGCTACAATCGCAGAGTGAAGCATAGGATGAGGTTCCGAACCATCCGCTCTGCATATCACCGATGACCAAGCACACTCATTGGCTGATACGGCTCCTCTAAGAACTTGACCTCTTCCTCTGTCAGCTGTATATCAATTGCACCTTGAGGGAAGTTTTCTTGGTCAGCAAGTCCATGCCGGCTGCGTGAAAGATGTGCGTACCAACGATGTCGGCGAGATTAGCGAGAGAAGTCGTTCCGACAATGGGAGCGGAGACGCCTGGGACAAGATGAATTCATACAATGAGAAAATCAGGAAGCACGAAATCGCACCGTCTTTCGACAAGATCCACGCTACAGCCACCTGCGCCATGCTAACTCCTCGCTTCTTGGCCACCTCCTCGACCCTGATTATCAAGAGTTATTTCTGGGGGTCTTCGTTGTGATTCATGCTTACCGATTCACAATTGCTGTGCCGGCAGGGGACTGGGTGTACAGGTTGGCTGACATACTTATACGGATGAAATCAGCGGGGAATGTATGGATGCAGAATTAAGGCCACACAATTCCGTTTCCGCGCGGTTGGACTGCTGAGAAAGCGGTCGGCTGAGGGCGCCGCGCGCGAGGGGTGACCATGGGATGGAACCCACGCCGAAATACTGAGGAACAAAGTTAGTGCAGAGATCCATACAACGGAGCGGAAATCCTACCTTCAACGTTGGGAACATCTCACGCTCTTCCTCCCTGTACAGGAGCGAGTAGTGGTTTTGCATCGATATGAACGGCGTCAGTTTGTTCGTAATAGCGTAGTCTTTAACCCAATTATTCAGCTGTGATGTGAAATATGTTCAAGGGTGTACATACTCTGCATTGCGTGGACTGGTAAGAGGGATTGATTAGACATGATGAAGGCTTTCCAGCGATTGTGGTAGACTTACATTGCCAAGCATAGCAAGAAGACATTCCGATATATCGCACATACCCGGCCTTGACAACATCGTGAAGTGCTTGCATCTGCGCCCATAATAAGTACCTGACACCCAAGCAGCGAGTGGCCTACCGTCTCCTCAATGGGGGTATTGGGATCGAAACGGTGACCTGAGGTAATGAGTATCTGGAATGGGCCAGACCAATTGCGAGTCTTACATTGCAGGACATCAATATAGTCCAACCCCAGACGCCGGAGACTATGTTTCACCGAGTCAAAAATATGCTATTCGGTCGCTTCAGACTTGGCTACACCCGCGCAACTGGATTTTGATGAAACCCACCTTGCGACTGAGACCATACTGGTTCACATATCCCGCGGCATCGAGATCCGGGACCGTCAACGTCATCTTTGCGGTGTCCTTTGAGACAGCCATGAAGAGCTTTGTCATGACAACAATTTCATCGCGGGGAAGGTTGTGTTTCTTGATCGCGCGACCGAGCACTTCCTCGGAGAGGCCGTTGGAATAACCCTAAACGCCATCAGTCGGCTGTGTGGGTCCTTGGGTCAGGGGCATACATTAGCAGTATCGAAGGTGTTGATTCCAGCGTCGTAGCTTTGAGCAATTCAGGACGAATTCGGCGAGCCAAGGGGATTTCGACTCACGCCGCTTTGATATGTTTCGACCCTTCCTCTTCATCAAGGATCCAATTCCCGCCCCAATTCGGGTCTCCATATGACATGCAGCCAAGGATAATTCTGGAGACTTTCAAACCTGAAGTTCCGAGTCGAACTGGCAATTGGAGGGCATCGGTATATGATTTAGGACGAAAGGGAGGACACACCGTATTTCATTTTTGGAGGGGATGCCATGGGTGCTCGTTTATCGATGAGAGGAAGAATGTGGAATGTGAAGGTATTTAAAGCCTCCCGCCGAGGCCGCATAATACCTTCGGCGCAGACTAATGTTTGTCTGATCCGCATGCAGTCTTCACGGCAGCGACTAAATCAGCTGAGTAATTCAATGCCAAGACGGCAAATCGGTTCGAAATTGAACCCTCACGAAACTCGACCACTACGAAAACCGGACGTACGCGTTCGGCATTCGTACTCGGCCGCCGCCGTCATCCTCGCTTAGTATGTCAAGGAAGTCTTCCGAAGTCTGTAATAAGGCGGGTAAGGCCGACAAGCGGCATAGCCCGCTACCAGAACTTGCATAAATTGAATTATGATGTGCATATCAGTCAGTACTCGAGTGTAATGATTCTGTCAATGAATGATTAATCTCTCAGAATAAAATCAGACTGGACTGGGCGGCCCAAAGCTCACTCGTATTGGGCCACTCCTTGCGTGCCTGTCAAATGCCTTAAGTAAAACTACAACCTGACTACAGTATTGATTCTGAATGTTGAATTCAAGTTCAACATGCATTGGAATAAATGCCTTGACTCCGAGCAGGACCCAAGTTGGAGTACTGTATCTGTCGTGATGACACGCCTGAGAGGAGTCAGGAATTACTCACGAAAAAAATATCGGTAGGTGGATGGATGCTGGTTGAGCTACTGTAACAGTGAAGAGAATAACCGGAAGCAAATGTGCTTTGGACAAACATTGGCTGAGTTCCATTGAAAACGTGGAAGAGCGCGAAGGAAACGGCGTAAAACATCAGCAGAATTATGAGAGATTCACCGACAATTATCAGCTTGGGCCCCAGATCCACCAAGCCGAAGGATACCAGCCAATCATAAGCACAGAAAAGTGCTTACGCAAAAAAAAACTGACGAAAAATGGAGTTTACTACTGCCGGACGTTGAAATTAGTGCTCCCTAAAACCCTTACCTAAGGGTAACGGGAATTGGCCTCCCATTCATCACAGACATCCGCACAGTCAGGCAGCAAGCAATCAGAAGGAGAACACGGCAGATGCGACTGGGACAATTGGGTGCAATTGTCCGGACAGAATGCGTTCCGTGATAAGTTTGCGGATAACTTCCACATTGCATTTCGGAGGTAATTGAATACGGTGGAGTGCGGCGATAGACAGAAGAACGGGGCTGCGATGGACCTCAAAAGAGTTGAAAAACTAGGCAACAGAAGCTGAAGACCGACTCTCGACTGACATGTTTGAAG